TACTTTACCACTGCTCTTAATCCTCTCTACGCCTTATTCTCTAGTTTAACATCCAATCTGCAACCTCAGCATCATCAAGACTCAAAGGAGAAACCCAACCCAAAGCTTCATTTAATAAAATGTGCCTTATAAAGGCAACACTCCCTACACTGTTTTTCATATCACTGCACCCCATAAACATAAAGTAGGGTCTAAATTTTACACGGTTATAAAGAAAATATAATTACAACTTTCTTCAAAAATATCTTTTTTTCGAGTCGGAGTCTCACTTTGTCACCCAGAATGGAGTGCAGTGGCACGCCACCCCAGCGTCAACCTGCTGGGCTCCGGCGACCCTTCTGCCTCAGCCTTTCAAGGAGCCAGAACTACAGGTGCACGCTACCGGCTTATTTATTTTTTATTTGTTGTGTAGATGAGGTCTCGCCAAATTGCCCAGGCTAATCTCGAACCTGAGGACTCAGCCATCCACTCGCCTGGGCCTCCCAAAGTGCTGGGAACACGGGCTGAGCCACAGCACCCAGAAAAAAATATGCTTTGAAGGGCAAAGATAAAAGAATGTCTAGTCTTCTTTATGTCAACATCATATTTAGGGATTTACTAAAAAAAAAAGTCAACGAATTCTCAAACACAAAATGCTGCCAGGAAATTATAGCTGACCACTGAAAAATGATTTTGAATAGGATGAGTTCACTTATACACAGATTTTTTTCAACCAAATTAGGATAGAACATACAGTATTCGCGGGAAGGGAAATCTGTGTATATGGAGGGCTGTGTAGCTACCGGGCTCCGCAGGGATGACTATGAGCCTTGAATATGTGAGGATTTCCGTGTTTTGGGTGGGGGTCCTGGAAACAACCTCCACATATACCAGGGGACTATATACAAGTGAGAAATTCAGTTATCTTTGTTTTGAGTTGGGGTCACACCATCGCCCAGGTTGGAGTTGCACCACCACGGCTCACTGCAGCCTCCACTTCCTGGGCTCAGGTGTTCCATCTGCTTCGGCCTGCTGAGCAGCTGGGACTACAGATGCACACCATCATGCCTGGCTAATTTTTTTTTTTTTTGAGTTGGAGTCTCACTCTGTCGCCCAGACTGGAGTGCAGTGGCCGCTCCCGGCCACCCCAGCCTCGATCTGCTGGGCTCTGGCGATCCTTCCACCTCAGCCTTCCAAGTAGCCAGAACTACAGGCGCGCGCTACCATGACGGTCTAATTTTTTATTTATTGTAGATATGAGGTCTCACCAAGTTGCCCAGGTGGATCTCGAACCCACCGGCTCAGGCAATCCACTCACCTCAGCCTCCCAAAGCGTGGGATTACAGGCTGAGCCACCAAGCCCGGCTAATTTTTTGATTTATTGTAGAGATGAGGTCTCGCCAAGTTGCCCAGGCGGGTCTTGAACCCACGGGCTGAACATTCTTAATCTGAAATTCAGAATGCCCCCAAATTTGGAAAGCTTTAATGCCAACATGGCACTCAAAGGAAAAGCTCATTGATGCACCCTGGAGTTCGCATTTCTGCATTGAGTGCCCACCTGCTCCATATTCTACAAATATTCCAAAATCTGAAACCTGAAACATTTATGGTCCCAAGCATTTTGGGTAAGGAATACTCAACCTGTATTAGTATAGAATTCTAAATTAGTAAAAATTACAGTGACTTAAAAAATACAAAGTAGATATTTTTATTTAAATATTGTTTAAATTTAGTCATTTCTACAAGTTTCGATGTAATAAACCATTGAATAAAACAATGCTTCCATAGCCTAATAAAAGCAGAATATTTTTTATTGTCAACAAAACTACTTGAATACTGTTATATTATTTTTTTTCATTTTTAGCGTAAGTGCACATTTTTGCCAGTGTTAGTCTTGAGGAATTGTGACACTTTTGCTTTTAAAATAATATCTTATTTCCATACAGTACTTTAAGATTGTGTGGCATGGCATTCTGAAACAAGTCTTAATAGAGCTAAAAATCACCCTCAGCAATTCTCTGCACTGATATATATAAACAAAGTAATATTTTTTTAATATCTTCGTAAATGGTTTCTTTAATTGAACCCTTGAACTTTATATTGCTTTTCAATTTCCCTTTTTTTTTTTGAGTTGGAGTCTCACTCTGTTGCCCAGACAGGAGTGCCAGGCTTGGTGGCTCAGCCTGTAATCCCGCACCTTGGGAGGCTGAGGTGAGTAGACTGCCTGAGCCCGCGGGTTCGAGACCCGCCTAGGCAAGTTGGTGAGACCTCATCTCTACAATAAATAAAAAAAATTAGCCGGGAGTGGTAGCGTGCGCCTGTAGTTCCAGCTACATGGACGGCTGAGGCGGAAGCATTGCCGGAGCCCAGCAGGTCGAGGCTGCGGTGGCCGGGAGCGGCCAGTGCACTCCAGTCTGGGCGACAGAGTGAGACTCCAACTCAAAAAAAAAAAAGAATGTCCAACATGTACATGAGTATTTGGGAAATTCCTGGAAACCAATTCATTATTAGAAATTGTCTTATAGATCTTAGAAATAAGATTTTATCATGGCTCACAAACTTTATAAATCTTCCTAGCCTACTTTGTAACACAATGTTTAACTACATTTATACTTTAATTTTTTATCAAAATCTCAATTAATTTACAACAATCTCACACTTCTCCTCTGGAGGATTATCATTTGCTGGTAGTACTACCACTTGTAACACTTAAAACACACACACACACACACACACACAACTCGAAGAGACAAACGACAGACACATATCTGGCTAGTTCTGTTAAAAAAGTACTAAAGATGTAATAATTAGACTGGAAATCATGATCTAGAAAATACTGTATAAAAACTATATAAAAATGCTGTGGTCTTTGTACAATTACTAGCTGCAGCAGTACTATATTGTGTACACATCTGGAAATCATATTTTTAAACTGACAATCTGTTTCAACCACTTTGCTTATTAGCACAGGAGATACTGGTTGAATGTGAAACAAGATAGTTCCCCAGATAAAAGGTTATTATTTTTAAATACCTTTTTTGGAACACAAATACATCATTTCAGCTTATATCATTAGGAATAAACATGATCCATATAAGTGAATTTTTTTATTCATACCTTAAAGCAATGATGATTTAAACAAATTAAGCCATGTTTCGATAGAGGTGGTCCTAAAACAAAAGACCTTGATTTATTGCTTGGTAAAATTCCACCACTTGGTCCCAACTCCCACACTTCTGGGGAAAGATTCCAAGGTCAACATTATGAATATTAAATACAATAATCTACCATAACAAAGTATCACCCTCAGGAATTTCTGAAGTGTTTGTTTGAACGTTTATTTTATAGTTGCTGCTTCTACAGCCATAGATCTTTTCTTACTGCTTCATATTATTAGTATTTTACATCCTACAAGTCCTATACTTCTGGTGCTCCTAATCTGTTTTTCTAAGACTATTTTTAAAAATCAGTACGTATAATTTTCCACAATATTCTAGCTCAAAGATGCTCCACACTTTTCCTGCAGCTTAAAATAAGTTTTTCTTTTTTTCATTTTTTTTAGGATCAGAGGAAAGGAAAAGAAGTGGGCTTGATAACTTGCTAATTTGTGGGCTTGCTTCAGAAGAGCTGGTAATTTCCTGATGGATAAGTTTGCCAATACATACATACCAAGAGCCGGCCCTGTTATCATACTGAGGACAGCAGTGAACTCTTCCAGGTGAGATCAGAATGGATAATACAACGATTTGCTAATAGTTAACAGACATTTGCTATTTTATGGACATAAATAAAATATTTTATCTACTTTACAAAGCAATATTAACTCAAGGTATAATCTAAAACCTATGAAACTATTTGCAACAAAAATTACATAAATAAAAATGTCTTAATATTTCCTTTGCAAAAATTGTACACTGGTTAGAGAGTACCTGATACTTGTTAAAATATCAAGTAATACACGATAGGTTCTATAAAACAAAACATACACTGGGAAGCATTTTATTTTTTCGATTTCATATAACACTGCTCAGGACCATAATATTTTAAAGGTCTTTCTCGCAACTTTTTTGATTTAGAAGTATCATTTAAAAATATTTACTGATGCTATAAATATTTTTTGTACATATGAAAGAATTTAATGACTGCCATATCATTATACCTTCTGCTCCTTTGGTCAGAAAGATACATAGAAACTTTAAATCAGACATTTGGGCATTCAAAAATGGTTTTGTTTTGTTTTGTTTTGTTTTGAGTTGGAGTCTTACTCTGTCGCCCAGACTGGAGTGCAGTGGCCGCTCC